AACTCCCTGCGTGAGGACAGCCTCAAAGGGCTGTTCTGAAGATTTAGCATGATCATGCCGGGAAAGCACCGCTCAGTAAATACTAGCTGCTATTTTTACTGCTACCACCACTGCTCCTGCATTGCCACCACCCCACCCATTTCTTCCACCCCTCCCCCTTCAAGATCTCCATCCCCACCTCCACCCACCATCTCCTCCACTCCTAACTTTAACAAACCCCTTCCCTTGTAAAAAGGCAACTATTCAGACATCGACATGTATACAATGTAATATTAACATAATGTTAATTTATCGGAATAGTTGGTATGTGGCACCTTAATTGACTATGAGCTCTACAGTAACTTAACAGAAGATCTAACTGCAGAATCTCTAAACTCCTCACTTAATAATGCTGCCAGCACAACCTTTTAAAGTACTACAAGACGATCTGTGACAATTCAAATTAGGCTATGAATATAATTTGAAAAACAACTAACTTCAAAATGAAATAAATGTGCTTTGATTCTGGCCAACCACCAACTGTGACTCAAAGTTCTAGAAAACGGGGAGAGATTCCAGGTTTCCTCCCTGAATATTGCCTAGACCTGCCACTTGTCTCTCCCGGGTCATAGATGATCACTGCAAACACTGAGCTTGCAGAGGCCTCAAAGGACCAGGCTAAGATTTCACCAACAGGCCAAAGCCCTCCAGGTGACACGCAGGGTCACCCAACTACGTCACCCATTGACATATGCACCCACGGACCCCCAGACAAAAAGGACAAAGTAAAAAAAGCACAAATTAACAGAAAGGCAGTGTAGCAGGTTAACAAGAGAGTACAGCTCTGAGGTTGGAAAGAGAAGGTTTGGAACCTTGGTGTACTAGCTGTGGGGACAACCCTTAGCACCTCTGAGCTTCAGCTTCCATGTTGAAAACACGGATTGCAACCCCAGTGGGTGCACAAAGACAATGCAATCAAGTGAACCCAACTTTTACAGCTCCAAGTTTCCCATGTTCTCTCTTGGTTCCACAACCCACCTACACTAAAACCAGAAAACCAAGCCAGGCGCAGTTGGAAAGATGATCGAAGAAAAGGTTACCTTCCTAGCAGAGTACAGGGCACACCATAGGCACACAACACACCCACACTCCTCCCCCATTAGCAGAACGAGAGGCAACTCTTCCTTAAACCTTCTCAACAGTAATCTCACAGTCTGGAACACGTGCTCATTGTCCAGGCTGACCAGGAAAAGGCCCCTGGGTTTAACATGACGTAATCCATGCTGGTGGTTTTTCCTCATTCCGGAGCCCCTCTGCTCGGTGGAGGGCAGAGGGCCAAGGGGAGCCGGGTCTGGCCCAGCACTCCACCTAGATCCCCAGGCGCACCTGGCTCAGGTGTGAAGGGCAGGGAGCCCCTGGAGCACGCTGAGGGGTGCGGCTCACAGGTCAAGAGGACGGAGGTTCCAGGTGATGCTTCCTTGAGGCATATCTTCTGCAGAGCTTTGTACAAAGCTCATTTTAGTCACCAAAATAAACAGCCCAGAGCCCAGGGCACAATGAAATCAGTCCTTCTGCCAAAGAGCCACTTCCCTCTAGGACAAAGCTTGGCCAGCCCTGACAGCAGGGAGGACTGTCACAGCCCAGCTTTGGTGTCTTTTAGGTGGGAAACATCTAACTGTGGCATGAGCTGCATGTTTATAAACTGCTGGGAGGACAAGCACTATGATTTTGAGCAAATATCTTCACTCTCTGGACCTCACCTGTAAAATCGGGTTTTGGACCACATGATTTCTAAATTTCTCTTTAGCTCTAAGGTTGAAATCCACAAAAATGTTTTGAAGCTGATCTCTTCCTAGAACCATGGCTAAAATAGTATTATGGGTGACTTCTGAGCTTCTGGCCAATACGCAATATCAAAGACAGGATGCACCCTCTCTCCTTCAATAACTAAGAAATGCAGTGGTTTTCACACAGTGGACAGCAGGCAGCATGAGGCAGATTCCTGAGAGAGGAGACGCCCCCTGCGCCCACTTCCCTGCCTGGAGAGTTTCCGGGCTGCAGTGCCAGGAGGAGGACCTTCCTCTGGGGTCTTCCTAAGGAGACGGAGGTCAGCATTCAGGGAAGCCAAGGCAGAGCAGACAGCACTCCACGGAGGACAGTGCTGGAGACCTGCAGAGGGTTCCCCACAAATCCTCCCAGAGTATCCACTGGCACATGCACAGAGGAAACTACCGAGGCAGGGAAGAGCCACGAGAAAGGAGTGGGCAGAACCATCCCCAGAGGGCGGGGGGAGCATGTTCCCACCAACCTATGTGGAAAGCCTCCCTCCACGTGGTCTTAACAGTGAGGGAAAATGAGCCCAAAACTAAAAGTGACCCAAGCCCAGCTCACAGAGTATATGAGCAAGCCCCAAAAGGATCAAACTGTGTCCAAGAAGCTTGACTGTTCCCGGAATAGAGACTAAAAACATTTAAAGGAATACCCCCACAAAAAGCCAGCACCTGGCCGTGTAAAATTCACCATGTCTGGCATCCAGTAAGAATTCTCGGGCATGAAAAGAAAGTAAGACCTACAATGATAAGAGAAACCAACTGAGAGAAACCAGATCTCGCAATGTCCAGAACTGGAAGACAGGATGTTACAATGGTGCTCAAGAAGGGAAAGGAAAGGGTGGATCTCATGCGGAAAGAAACGGAAGATACAACCCAGCCTCTAGAGAGACACATATCCTGGAAGGAAGATACAGCAGGAGGATGAGCCTGCGTCAGGCACCAACTTCTCGCTCTGCCCCAATCTCCAAGGACATGCCCGGAGACTCCCGGCACAGAGAGGCCCGGGGTAGGAGAGAGCCCACGAGGACAGTAACAGACACTGTCCTGAACGAAACACCAAGGGCAAGGAAAGGTGGAAAGGTGTCCCACACCCCCACCTTACGCCAGTGTGGGGGAGGAGGAAGGGACTCTGGTTTGGCAACTGAGAAAGCTGAGTATGAAGCTGGTGCCTTCCACTTTCTAGCTCTTTGGCCTCACTCGATAAGGCAACAAAAGTCTCTGAGCCTCGCTTTTACTGTAGGTCAATCTGGATAATACCTATTTCAAAGGGTTTGCTGGGAAGACTGAGACAAAGTACAAAAAGTCCCATCACAAAACGCACACTAGCTCCTTTCTCAACCCCCGGGAGATGGTCTCTCCCTCTGCCTCAGCCTAGAGAGAGCTGGCGGGGAGGAGAAACAGGCAATGTCTGCACTGGTCTTTTTTTTTTTTTAATTTATTTTTTACTTTATTATGGGTACATAATAGTTGTCTCCCCGGTCTTCTTGCTCACAGATGTACATGCCCTTCCGCACTTGAGAAGCAGTTATAAATGGCAGTAGCCTGGTTATTCATAGGACTACTCCAGCTCTAACAAACAGCGAGACAGTCAGAGCCAACTGGCCTCCACCGCAGGAAGCAGCTGCAGGCTCTGCGCTTCTAATGCTGTCTCCAAAAGGAAGGACACTTGCATGAGAAGATGGAAGACAGAGAGTGTGTGCATTTGTGTCTGTGTGAACATGCACATATACACGTACGTATGAAATCTGTGCCACGTGTGCAAACACAAGCAATACAACCTTAAAACGTATACAGGTACAGCTAATCTACAGGTATCTGCAGAGCCCCTCCTTTTTCTACCGCTAAAGTTACAAACATTTCTTCACCCAAAAACCTTCCTCTCTACGTTGTGAACCTTGCTCATCATCAGTAGGTCTCAAGAGAGTATCTTCCTGTGTCCATATCTCAACCAGGTGTTTAGATGAAAAACGCTTTTTGGCACCTCTCCCCAGGACCTCATTCTCCGGACAGGGCCACGGCTGAGCTATCTGTCACCTGACTCTATTCCCAAGAGCACAGACAGAATTGCTAGGAGGAGGGAGGCCCCGTGTTGACCCTACTGAACAGGAACTCCTCTGTCACTCTGGAAGCCCAGCAAAGCGACGCCAGCCTGGGGAGACTACCTTCTGGGTAAGAGATGGGAGGGGCTTCCAAGCTGAGACCCGGAGGCTCATGGAACTGTGCCCATCAGGACACAGAAGTGGACATGAGGGATGTAGAGAAGGGCAGTGGACAACCCTGGCCTGGGGGATCCCGGCCTGGGTGACCAGGGCAAAGGGCATTCACACGGAGAGGGGTTCATCGGAAGATGAATTTGATTTGAAACATCTTCCAAAATGCTAGCATCACCCTGGTCCTCAAAATAGCAGTCTAAGACCCTTCACGTCACTCACCCAAGACAGAAATCAGTCATCCTCAAACTCTCCCTTCGCCATGTAGAACTTACCAAATCCTGATTACTTTGCCTTCTAAACCTACTTCAACCCACACTTTCTTCTCATGAGGCCACCACGGCACCCTAGGCTTAGGCGGCCCCGTGTCTGGTCCTAGGCACTGCTGACAGACAGTAGCCTTGAAGTGACTGACCTGCTGGAATCACAGTCCGATACGAGGGACACAGAGTATTAAGCCCAGGAACCCACAAGCATGGGCCTTAAATCTTCACTCTATACCTAATATTAAAGTCTTTGAAGACCAGATAGCTAACTTCACTCTAAATCAATTTGCATATTAAAGAGCAGGTTTCAAATACACATTAATACCCAATCCACTAGGAGCACGACACATATCACGCCCATCCTAAAACTGTAACCATTCTAAACCGGAAAGCAGAGATTGCCATGCATGGCTCTCAGAGGGACAAGAACACTTTACTAAGCAACGAGAAGGGGCCTGCAATTAGTGAGCAATGTCTAAGCTTATTGAGTACTACACAACCTTCACCAATGGTAACACAGTCATGGGGTGACCAATCACAGAGCTTCACACACTTGGGGTATCCAACCTCTTGGTCACCTAAGCAGAAGAGAAATACAGTTGATCTCAGAGAGACTCACTCATTCAACAAATATTCACCAAGCATCTATTCTATGCCCAGTACATTAGTGCTTAAAGCAAAGATCCTGCCCTCATGGAATTCATATTTTATCTGGAGAAAATAGACAGTAAGCAATAAACACACCACGCAATTTACTTGTCTAGAATTTCAGAGGGCAGTGCTATGGCATAAAAGAAAAGACTTGAGCAGAATAAACAGGGAGGAGGCTGCAATTTAAGCGGAACTGGTAAGGGGCCCAGGAGGAAGACTTGTCAGGAGGACGGACGAGCCCCACAGGTGTCCCAGAGCAAAGCCAGAGGCACACAGAAGGTCCCCGCAGACAGAGTTCACAGTCTCTACAAAGCACCTTAACATTCTCACCTTCACTGGTGAGCGCATCCCCAAATGCGCCAACAACGACGGTGGCATTTCTCTTCTTTAACTGGGACTCGGGCTGCCACTGTGGTGTGCAGAAGAGAACCTTCTCCCTTCCCACATCTCCCAATGAGAGACCCCTAAACAGTTAGGGGCCTCCTATCCTTGGAGGCCTTCCCGTCATCTTCCCGAATTTACCAAAACAAACCATCTGATGGTCTAAGAAGTGATATGTTATGTCTTTTTAGTTTTGTTTGTTTTGTTTTTAATTTCACATTAAGAACAATTTCAAGCCACTCTCATTCCATGGTCAAGATAAATGGAGTATGATATCAGAGAAAAACTTACATTTGGGGAGATCTGATCACTGTAAAATGGATGTCTGTAAAACTGCAAGATTCAACATCATTTTTAAAAGCAATTAAGGTGCTATGTATACACACATATATATACTATTCTATATATATATATGTATGTGTATACATCCATATACACTATAAAATAAAATCTCACTAATGACCTGAAACTACTTGGTATAGAACATTATTTTATAGTGCTTTCATATTGGTTTTTAGAAAATAATCAATTTCTATCTTTCTAAATATGTATTTAAAAGGGAAATCCTAGCTTCCTAATCCTATTTCCTAATAAGCTCATTTCCAATTTCTCCTAGAGTACCCCTAAAATAAATGGGTTATATTGAACACCTTAAGCTAAGATGTTCATTTACAGGCTTAAAAACTCACTAATGAACTTTAAAAGTTGAAATAAACAATGCTTACTAAATAAAGCATTTATAAAATTGAAAAAAAAAAGTTGTGACCATCCTTAACAATTATAGGAGATAGACTTTCTCCATGAAATAAATATTATAACTAGTCCCTTACATTTCCAACATACTTTGAAATTTCCTACTGATAATGAAAAATTTTGTTTTTCCTGTGACTTTACTTCTTTTATAATGTTTCTTCTTTAAGCAGTTCTATCAAGTGATCAAATCCCAGTTCCTGTACCCTAAATAGGTTCTCTGGCACCTAGAAGCTACTGGTGGCGACACACTGTGCTCCTCCCACCCCTGCCACCCCGGCTGCTCAGAGCAGGGCTGAACACCCTCACAGAACGTAGACCCACTCACCACGCCCCAGAGAAGCCCTCGCACAGCTGCAGATGGAATCCATCTTCAGGAGCTAAATATTTACTTTTTTCTTAGGGATCAATCATAGGGAAATCTCACAGAAGTTAGAAATAATCTTCATATCACAGTAACTTCAAATACTTTTTTTGTTTCTCCCTAGTTAGTAAAATAACAACAATAAAAAAAAGGTATCAGGCGTCCCTTTCTCAGGGTCTGCCTTATACACACATAAACAGTTAGTGTTTTGAGGAAACTGCCAAAGTGAGAGTATTTGCTGCCTGACAAAGACAAGATTGTGAGGCTTAAGTAGTCCCTCGTGCCGAGGTTCATAACTGGTGGCAGCCAGAGCAGGTGATGGGGCCCATCGGACACCAGGTGCCGAATGAGCACAGAGCAGAGGGCACAGCACATCCCAGACGGGGAGGCCAGCAAAGAAGGCACCACATGCCCAGAGAGAAGAATAACCACGAGAGCGCAGGATTCTCGCACGCCCTCACAAATTCAGCGTGAGTAATAAAACAGAGCTCAAACATGGTTACAGCCTTAAAGACCAGACACTGAAAATAGAAATTTAAGTAAAGATCATGTTTAAATTACTCTGTATGCATTTAGTAAAAGGAATAATTTCAAAGTTCCTTTGTCCCTTAAAGAAACGATCGTAATTGCCCAAATTTTTGTCAATGTATTTACTGCTTGTTTAAACCATTTCATTTCTCTCTGTCGAGCACTTACAATAAGCATCCGACAGATTTTCTCTCCTGCGACGGAGGGAACACAGAAGTTTCACAGCACCCATTCCAGCAAGGGAAACTGCCGTAATAAACGCCCTCTTCATCCAGGATCCAGAAAGGAAAGAAATATCCTGCTTCACTGAAAGGTTCATAAACCACTGACACGAGTACCATGTGTGTTACTTGCCATGTTCAAATCATTATAACACGGTGAAAGCGCCCAGCCATGAACCTGCTTTAAACTTGCTTGGAGAATACAGCAGTGCTCCCTCATCCAAGGTTTTGCTTTTTGCACGGTTTCAGTTACCCACAGTCAACTGTGGTCTGAAAATATGAAACAGACAATTCCCGAAAAAAAACAGCTCAGGTTTAAAATGTTTGCCCTCCCGAACAGCGTGATGAAACCCTGCACGGACCCACCCCATCCCACCCAGGCGGGAACCCTCTCTTCGCCCAGCAGATCCGTGCTGCTTCGCTCCCTGCCCTGGGAATGCAGAAGCGTCTTGGCGGTCAGGTGGACTGTCACTTGGCCTCACGCTGCAGAAGCTAGAAAGGCCACATTCTCTCCTTGTGAAGGTGAAAAATACATATAAGCATCTTGCAAATGACAAGAACTTGAGCCCAAAGACCAATTGAAACCACATTTATATAAAATTTACTTTACTTTTAGCAAAGTTATGAAGAGGTAAGTAAAGCAAAGTATGACTTGCAAAGATATTTAACAACAACAAATAGTGCTTTTTCCTCTCTGAAAGGAGGGAAAGGTTTCAGTGAAGCAATGATTTCCTTGTTAGCAAAGGCCTCGAACTCCATCTCTGGAGCCTCAGGCGGAAGGTCGAGTCTGTCCCACCAGCTGTCATGAAACAGCAGGGCCTGCTGGAGACTCTGGGCTCCAAGCCCAACCACACTGCTCAGTGGGGTAGTGAACCTTCTTCTTCCCTCTACTATCCTTACACTTTCTTTAAGCCCAGGCTGCGTTTTAAACACTTTTGTTTTCCCAGAATGAACAATCACTAAGAAAGTGACAGTCATTTCCTCATTGCCCAAAGAACAAAATGAAATGTACTCATGCAGTTTGGTCCCATCTCAAAACTAAGCTGGGTTTCAAGTGAGGTCTGGAATGAGGGGAAACTCCTCGGCCAGCCCCTCACTGCCTCATGAACCACTTTGGGGGCAAAGGAAGAGGAGGGAGGCACCTTCAGGGACCCAGCCCCTTGGATTCCAACAGCAAAGGCCATGCTCAGACTGCCCCTGCCAGGGTCTCACGCTCTGGTCCCTGGTGCCCTGGGTCGGGTGGGAATTCCTAAGGCCCACTCATCTAGCCCTTGGGGCTCTCATTTCATAAAAGTACCAGCTTAAGTGCTAGAAGTCTCACACACCCAGCGGAAGCACTGGGACTGGAACCCAAGCCAGCCTGGCCCCTGGTCTGGCTCACTTCCTACTGGCCATGTGGCCTCCCACAAAGGGTGCTGGCTCTTGGTGGAGCTGAGCCGGGACTAGAAAACCTGCTCAAGATTAACAGATACAGGAAGGTGGGAGGTGGGTCACAATGACAGCCACAGGGGGACTCCCCACATGGAACCCCGCAACCCCCACACCCCAGGGCAGTGGTGAGCAGCCAGGCAAGGACGATCTGCACAAGGACAGCGGGCGTCACACTGGTCTCTCGGGAAGAGCGGAGGACACAGCGGGAGTGGGTAGAGGTTGTCCCTACACGACCCTCCACTGGCCAGAGGCAGTGGGCTCGGAAGTCCCAACAGCGCCTTGTGAAATCTCACCACACAGGAAGGACACGCCAAGGCCATGATGGGCCATAAAGGCAAAGCTTGAACTTCAGTTCCAAACACCAGTTGCCACAGACAGAAAAACCACAAGCACGACTGAAATCTCGAGACAGTCCAGACTAGCACTTCTCAACCCACCTGTGGGGAAGGAGTTTTTCCTGCTGTTACTATTATCAATCTGCCAATTCTAAATGCTTCCTAAGCAGGACAGAAACAAATTACTAGAAAATGAAATAAACAAGACAAAGATAAGATACACACCCACACTGTTACTATTAAATTCAACACTCAAATTGCTATGAAAGTTTCTAACCACATTTTCTCCATTTCTGGACTTATCATGGGCTAGAAGTAAACACGGTTGCCCAGGTCACCTAGGGGTAGGGATGTGGGGAGACACCTGTCCTCAGAAAGGCCAATCTTGAGTAAAAATGATATATGGGAGTATGGTGCCCTAAAAGAAGAACAGGATAGCCATCCCAGCTCTGATGCGGTCAGCCCCACCTGGAGTGTGGAGCAGTTCTGGTCATCTGCCTTGAATAGGGGTAGGCAAAACAGGAGGATGGGAACAGGGGAAGATGCCACCAATCCCAACAAAGGAAGGATGCCTCAAGGAGCTGGGGGCCGAGTGATACATGACACATAACTTCATACACAGGGCGAGAGAATCGACTTGCTCCGTGTTACCGAGAAGGCCAGAGGGAGCACTTGATGTTACAGGCAGGCTCATTTTCATTGATGGCAAGTAAGTAGGCTGTCTCTGGGGGTAATGAGTTCCCTTCCCTCTGGTAATCAGTGACATAAAACAAGGGAAACACAGTTGACTCAAGGATTCATGCTCCAACCAGGTATACCATGATGCCTTTCCAACTCTGAGTACCCAAGGTACCATCATGTGTGGCGGGGAAACACCCCTGCAAGAAGCTACACCTGTACACGAAGTCATGCCTGCTGCTGCCACCTGCCTGCCTGCCGCCCTACCTGCTGCCTACCTGTCCACCTGCTGCCCACCTGCTATCCACCTGCTGCCCACCTGACAATGTAATAACAACACACCAGCAGGTAAGTTTTAGTCTTTGTAGGTACATCATAAACTTTCAGACCTTACAACTGAAGAGGCACTACACACCTGCCAGGCAAGCACATAATGCCAAGGAGCAAACGGCTGGCAGAGCAGCTCAGGGCACAGGCTTTGGGCTCCACCCCACAAGCCTGATCTGTGATTTAACGCACACAAGCTGCATGACCCTGGGCAAGGAACCAGTATCTGCAAGCCTTGATTTCCTTGGGGAAAAAAATAGAGAAAATAACACATGCAGAGTGCTTGCCACAGTATCAGACACAGAATAAAAATAAGACATAGAAAGTATGATTTTACTCAGAAGAAATCTAAGACTTCAAGCCTGTACTTAAGATGAAGATGCTGTCTGAGAAGACAAGACCTAGGCATTAAAAAGAGAAGCATTCAGAATAGAATGCAAACTCATTTGCGTGTTTATGTTTCTATTTACTTATTTGTCATTTTCAATGATTCTAAGACACACACACCCATGTTAACGTTTTAAAAATGCAAACACTGCACCGTCAATGCACATTTGGGGACTATACATAAGCATCTTTTTCTTTATTTGGACTGAAAAGCTGTCGTTAAAATTGACATATGGCATTTTAGGATCAAAGTAATTCAATAAGCACAAAATTGTAGGATACAAATTAAATGTTTTATTATAGTAGCTCTGAGGAGAAGATCTTCACCATCTGGACAATAACTTGTTCTCTTCGGTGCCACCGACATTAAACATGCACATACCTCACAGACACAAACACATCTCTGGTGCTCAGTGGGCGAAATGGCCTCTTCTGCCCTGATATTCTCATCTGTAAAGTGGAGAACATGAAGGTCCTCGTCTCATAGGGTTGGTAGGAGGGAAAATACAAATAAAATCTTTGGCATGATGACTAGCACATCATAAATGCGTCGTTTCTCTCATCTATAAAATGGGTATCATGAGGGTAGCCACTTCATAGAGTTGGTAAAGGGCTGAATACAAGTATGCAGAAAGTGCCTAATCTTTTCCCCATTGCCAACCCTTCCTCCCACTGAGTGGCTAGCTTGCAAGTTGCTGACAGACCCCAGGCTATACCAACCCACAGCCAGAGGCTGCACCTGGGTCTCCCTCCAGAGCTGACAGCTCTCTGCAGGGAGGGCTGGCATTTTGTTCATCTGGTACCTAAATATCCACCCACGATGTGCCTACCAACTCCGTCCACAAAACGGTAAGGGAATGAACAAACTAGCCAAAATTACCTAGATATATGTCAACTAAAATAAAATCTTAAATCTCCCCTGCACCGGCTGACTGAATGGACCTCCTCTTGGCCAAGGAGATGCCCTAAAACTGAGTTGCTGGCCATGAGAAGGGAGGTCAGACATGCCTTATGCTCCCTCCCTTCTTGTAGACACCCTTTGTAACTCAGTGACAGGCCTAAGGCCATGCAAGACAAACCCATAGGGTCTCACTATACAGAACAAATACAGAGCAAATCACTTGAATCTGGATATATATCAGGTGGCTTGTCTCTGATCTTAAAACATTCCAAGCCTTCAGACAAAGCTTTATTTCTTTAACCAATTACAAATCCAAGAGTCTTTAAACCCACCTACCGTCCCCCTCTTTGAGATGTCCCACCTTTTTGGGCCAAACCAACATACACTTTCCACGTATTGATTTATGACTTTACCTGTCACCCTTGTCTCCCTGAAATGTATAAAACTAAACTGTAACCACGCCACAGTGGGTCCATGTGCTCAGGCTTCTTGGGCGTGGCTCCGGGCCATCGTCCTCAAATTAGGCTCAGAATAAACCTCTTTAAATTATTTTACAAAGTTTTGCTTCTTTTCCATTGACAAACATTTAAAGAATAGGCTCCTCAATTGATTCCATAAGTTACAGAAAGCATAAAAACACATACCACTTACTAACATGGCATTAACTACCTAGGATTCCAATAAATAAAGCCAGTTGACAGCAATTTGCTAGATGGGTGAGAGATGTCTTCCCAAACCACATGTCATCTATTTTTTAGCACACTGACTGCCACACTAGAAAAAAAGTTTTTTCCCTTGGGGACACAGTGTTTTATTACAAAAATAAAATTAAAACTTTGAAAACAAAACAATCCTTTCTAATTTAATGAAAAATTTGTTAATTTTTATTGCTTCCTGTGCGTGAACTATATGCAACTTGGAAAATAGTTCTCTGGGCTCCCAAGGTGAAGACACATGTGAGTGACATAGGCTTCATGAGGCCACAGGGCCCCAAACTAGGGAAAATTAAATATAACTCACATGGCAGTTAACCTGTTACGTGAATATTCCACTGTTATTTCAAAGATTTTGAAAAGACTGAAATCTCAAATTTACACAGGTATCACAAACATCACTTAAAAATTTTACATTCTTAAAAAATAATTCTAAACTCTTAAAAAGACACAACTCAGCTTACTCATCAAAATAATGGCACACATTTAACGAAAGTCTTTTATGTGCTAAACACAATGCCAAGGGCTTTATGTTACCCATAAAATAAGCCCCGCAGGATTGCTAAGCATTTGCACAATATAAACCCTACCCAGAAAATAAGAGCTAGTGATGGGCGTGGCCAGGCAGTGCATCTGCACAACCCATGCATTCATTTCCTCGCAGGGCGGTAAAGAAGATGAGCAGCCCTTCTCATCTACCCCATTTTGACAGCTACTATCCCAGAGGTGACTGGAAAGGTGCGGGCAGCCCCACCAACAAGGTTGGCTCCCCCCGTCAGGTCCCGGCCATCTGTGCATGCTACAAGCTGAGGCTTTGAGGGGAAAATAACACATTCCCTGAAAATAAGCCGTAGGGTGTCTTCTTGAGGAAAAATAAATATAAGACCCTGTCTTATTTTCGGGGAAACACGGTACGACTTCTAATTCTCACAATGAACCTGTAAATACAGATATAGAAAGAATTTAAATAAAGTGCCTGCAGTCAGGCAGCTGAACAGTAGAGTCAACAAGGGTCCTCAAACTTTTTAAACAGGGGGCCAGGGGCCGGTTCACTGTCCCTCAGACTGTTGGAGGGCTGGACTATAGTTAAAAAAAAAACTATGAACAAATTCCTATGCACACTGCATATATCTTATTTTGAAGTAAAAAAACAAACCAGTACAAACACTCGCATGTGGCCCACAGGCCATAGTTTGAGGACGCCTGGTCAACACATTTACAAAGTACCTGTCTTATCTCACAAAACATCTCTACAATATGGTAGCTGTTACTAAATTCAGAATCATAATCTTAAAATATCTGGAAAACTATTCTAGGTAAATGTCCTAGCAACTGGAAAAGTCAAAATAACAATAAGGAATATTTCAGATGACCTCTGTAACCTCCCACCTCAAATATGAAGGTGGCAGTTACTATCAACAAATTTCTTGAGGAAAATGTGGTCCAATAAAATGTCCTTTTGCCAAAGTAGGGTGCGCAGTATTAAAAAAGGAAAAGCTATAGAATCACTTTGGCTAAAAAAAAAAAAGTAATAGAAGTGACAGACTTTGGGAGTGGAATGCATGTCCAGGGACTGACCCCAAATCTAGACTATAAGGGATGATGTCATCCTTTGGCTCCTCCAGACACTGCCAAAGGGTTAAAGAATCTGGGGCACCCAACAGAAAATCCAAAGCTGTGTGTGATCAGCAAACGAAGTCTCATCTGAGGGCTGTCTTGTACCCAGAAAATGAGGAGGAGACAAGCTGATATGGGGGGGCCCACTTTGGCCTCTCTCCATCCATAATGCTCATTCTAGCAACTGGTGTTCTAGAATAGGAGTCAACAAACTTCTCTGTAAAGAGCCAAACACTACCCAACTATGCAGATGTGGTCTGAAAGCAGCCACAGACAGTAGGTACATGAATGATCATGGCTGTGTTCCAATAAAACTTTATTCGTGAAAGTAGGCAGTGGGCCAGATTTGGCCCAGGGGCTGCAGTTTGCCAACCCTACGCTAGAAGAACAAGTTCTCTGCTTGAAGACTCAGGGACACAGCACTGAAATGGAACCAAAATAAGCAACCTGTGGTAACCTGGGGCTAGGACGAAATTTATGAGCATTAATGCTGTTTATATCTCCACCGACAAGCTGAGGCTATGGAGGGCAGGGCTGCAAGGAGAGTTTCTAAGGTGGCTCATTTCTAATACGAGTATGTATGTTTATAATTCATAAATCATGAAATTATGAAAATGAAAATATTACTTTTGGAAATTCAGCAATAAACTTAATAACCTATATAAAATTTACATTCAAATGTTTCATTTCTAAAGCTCAGTTCAACACTCGTCGTGTAGCCAAACCTACCTTATTTTCTATTTTGCATTTTTCCGAAGATAATAAATGCTTTTATTTACCATAACTCTTGTCATACGTGTATAATCCCTTCTTCAAAACCCTGGAGACTAGATGTGGTTGAGAACTAAGAATTTTTTGGACATGAGAACGATCACACAGAAGAGCACAGACACATGTGCAGGGTCCCAAGGGAGCCCTGGAATCCCCATCGTGCTTCTGAGGCAGAGCGTGTGGACGGTGGAGTTCTGGACGGGCCTAGTCAGACTCTACCGTGACACGAGCAATTTTTTCACTTCTCAGCAGAGAGCTTTCTGGATTTTAAAGTTGCAGACTATGACCTATAGGCCTCTGTTAATAGAACCACACTCCCAAGCGCTCTCATTCCTGGTTGAATAAACTCTGACTTCCTGCCCCATTGGTCAAGCCCACCACCATCCTCCTGGCTTCACACTCCTCTCCGGTGGCTGAGCTGTGCCCCGAGGGTCCTCCTCCCTGGGGAGGCCGCCCTCCTCTCTGGCCCAGGCAGCCCACCCGCCCTTCTCCTGTTGTCCTGTTTTATTTGCTTCAGAATCATCATCATTACTCACAAATACCTCATTTCCTGTCTGTCTCCTGTGCTAGGATCCAGCAGTCCCAGAGATTTGTCTGCCGAGCTCAAAGCTGGTTTCCTGGGCCCAAAACTGTGTGGGGCACCTAGCTGGCACTCGGTCAACATCTAAGGAATTTAGGGTTACAACCCTTGCCCAGGCTTCTAAAAATGTGGCCTAACAGGTGCTGGGAAACTTCCACACATTCCTCTCATCCCTGCAACCCTGACACGTCATTAACCCTCTTTTTAACCAACAGGGAAACTGAGGCACAGGAAAGTTGCATGATTACTCCAAGATCGCAGAACTATGAAGTAGCACATTTTAAAGGAAGAAGTCTCAAAAGCGAAGTGGATCATTTCCTACCTTGCCAGACCCGTGACCCCCGCTCAGGTTGCTGCCTCCATGCCTGCTGCTGAAGGCAAGATGATTACGTGTGACAACAATTCCATGCTTCTACGTACGTCAAAAAAACCACGTATCAGTGACTCATTGACAAACCATCTAATCCAAGCCACAGCTATGTGGGAACAGCTAGAATTAGAAAATTATTTGTATGTTGAAGATTTTAAGAAGAAATTTTCTCTATAAAACCCTGGAGATTTATCTAATTACTATAATTGCAGATTGCTCAAGACTGGAACCCATTGTAAATCATCCCGTTTTCTGAGAAATTCTGGAACTGTCATCTAATTTTCCAGGAACAGGGGATCGATCCATGCTGCCAAGTCTTGCTGCTGGATTTTTAGAAGAGTAGACAGTGCCTTCAACACCACTGAGCACTTCCTCAAAGGATGGCAGTGTGTCCCAGGGAATGCCCACCCTTCCCTCAAGGCTTCCCGGCTACAAACACCTAACAAGCCCATAAAGTAAGGCATTGACGCGAGTTGGGCTCCTGCCATCTCTGTATGTACCAGCAGGAAATCGGAAATGCCAGTGGGCGGTGGGGAAGCCAAGCGGCTCCGTGCTGTGAGCCCTCCCTGCACCATTATTTGGCCCTGAAAGCCAATTCCGTACTCAGCTGGGGATGACACTACTAAAATGACTGCCGGAGGGTCATGCTCCTGGGGATGCTGTCCTTTGAGTTCACTGACCCCACCCTCACGGGGCTAAGGGTGTGAAGGGCCAGGCAGCAGGCGGGGTGAGGGGTGCAGTCTGAGGCGGACCACTAGCCGTAGCTAACTGGCCGCAGGAGAACTGGACCCATGGCCCGCAGGGACACACAGAGCTTTAATCAATGGGGTGAGGCCACCAAAGCTCTGTAGGAACAAGAGAGCCACCACACGCGAGGCAGGGGGTGCCTCCACTAGAGGTCACACGCGACAGGCCCAGCAGGCACCGCCAAAACTCGCACACTAAGGTTTCGACACTCTTTTCTGGCTTATAACCAATTTTGGCTTTGTATCAAATTCAATGATTAGAATGAATGGAATTCCTAATCTTCAGCCTTTCTTAGAAGGTTTGCTTTACTTTGATACAAAAAAAAAAAAAAAAAAAAAGGAAAAAAGGAAAAAATTACAAAGACATCTCTTTGCAGCTCTAATGCTATACACAGATTCTCATTACTTACCTAAAAAGAGACTTCACAGACTAAGAGAGAAAAATAACAAGTTCAAAGAAGTACAGAAACCTGAGCAAGGGCAGAGCCTAGGCAGGACTCTGGGGAGGGTACAGCCAATCCCAGTGACAAAAGTGTTGAAAGGAGGAACCAAGATTCACCAACCAAATCTAAGGAACCCAGGACCACCCCTTCAAAGTAAAAGTCCAAAATGAAACCTGTTTTGAAAGATGAGGAGACTTGCAAACAGAACTTTTCCAGAAGCCCAAAAAGAGCTGGAGAACCGAAGGAACAGAAATGAACTTGTTCTCCAACAAAACCCCTGCTGGGGCTCTTGGAGAAAAGGGGAGCCCATCTGTGTAGAGGACTCCATCTACCACCCTTCTTCGTTCCCGCTTGCTCACCCTGTAAGCCCTGTGTCCCGATGAGCACCCTGATAGCCACCACCACTCCAACATGCCACCAGGAGTGTGAGGACAGGAGTGTGAGGACGGGAGGCGCAAACACTGCGCTGCTGTGTTCCACACATCTAGTCCCGGGATCCGCGGGCAAGCTGGTTGACGACAGACTCTTTCGGAACAGGATGCTGCGGTCAAATGGGAATACGAGGATGCTATCTTACAAAGCAAAGAAAAGCCAGGAAGACCAAGGCAGAAAGTGTCACAGTCCTCTACACCATGAGACTGTGCCAGCGTTTCCCTGTGACCTGCTAGTAAGGGGAAAGGTGCGTGGCCGCTGGCCACCACTATGCTCCGGCCCTCAACCGGCACCTCTGGCCAGAGCAGAGGTCCGTGCCCACCCATACCTGGTAGTACGGATGGTGCAAAAGGGAATCGGGGCAGCCGGCTGAAGCCATGGGGTCCTCTGCCTTCTTCAAATTACATCTACTGCTCGGCGGCACCTGGAATAAAGACAGGCTGTGAGAAGGCAGGCAGAGGAAACCCACTGCTTAGCACTCCTGCAAGTGCGACACGCCCGGTGGGGGACTCCTGGACACGGGCTGTCAGTTTGGTTGGATGCCTGCTCAGGCACCAGCTTTCTGCTAAACATGTGGAGACTATCACCAAGGACAGAACCTTGAGAGGTCACCTCTGCGGTGACCAGAGTCTGGGGCTAGCAGGGCACTCCAAGGGGTGACAGTGACATCCGACCCACTAAACTGGACTCACACATTCTCAGCATTTCCCCCGAACCACTGGACCCTTTTTTCTTCTATAACATCTATTAACACCGTTAAGACTTTATCATAGTATGGGAAATATGAATTTAGGCAAATTTCAAAGAAGTTCTAAAGGGAGGTGTGTGCGTTGCCAGGGCCAGGGACTGTCACTTGAGTGAATGCTGGCTCTACTAGTCACAGCCAAGAACAAACCACAGTTTTCAGTGACATCAGCCCTGACATGTGGATTCAGCACTCTCCCCTGCAGGCCACAGGCCCTGGTACCACACAACTTTGGTGTGAGCTAAGTTCAGTGGGTCTGGTGACACTCTCACCCCTGGGGTGGCTTTCTGCCCCACAGACCCTGGTGACCACACAGATGGCCTTTCAAAGATCCATAATTAGAGATATGAATTATACCAATCAAAATAGCAAAAAAAAAAAAAAAAATCAAGGTAAAATCCTGTTGTAGGATGAACTATGTCCCCCTAAAATTCATAAGTTGCAGTCCTAACCCCTGATACCTCAGAATGTGACTGCATTTGGAAAGAAGGTCTTCAAACAAGTAATTAAGTTAAAATGAGGTCACTAGGGTGGCTCTACTCCAACATGACTGGTGTCCTTTCAGGAAGAGATTAGGACACAGATGCGTACAGAGGAAAAAACATGCGAGGACATGGCAAGATGACCGCCACCACTCGCCAAGAAGACAGGCCTCAGGAGAAAGCAACCCTACCTGCACCCTGATCCTGGACTTCCAGCCTCTAGAACTACAAGAGAATAAATTTCTACTGTTTAAGCCGCCCGGTCTGTGGTCCTTTGTTACAGGAGCCCTAGCAAAGTAACACAGGCCCAAAATATAAAACACTCCTAAATCCCCATCACAGCTAAATCAATCAGAAGCATCCTAAATTTGTAAAATTTACTACCAACCATGTTTCCTGCAAGTGTTTCTCTTAGGTCCTTCAAATTACCAGTACAAGAATAAAAGAATGGCCCCAGAATAGCCCACTGGGGTGAAAGGACCTGGCTGATAAGCAAAGGCAGGCGCCAGCACGATGGTGGGAGAGAGAGCACCATCATCGGACCCACCTGTCCCTACCTACTGGATGAGGGCTGTGGCTGCATCCACCCTCCAGCCTCAGCCCAGACCAGAAGCCCCAAAGACACCAGCCTTCTCTGGCTCGTGGTCCCTGGGTTAGCTGTCGTATGCATCCACTGTCCAGCCTTCAGTACCCAGGCAATTAATAAAACACCTGCCTGGGTGTTGGTGTGAAAATATTCTGTAGACATGGTTAACATCTACAACCACTTGACTGTAAGTAAAGGAGATGACCCTTCAGGGAGGCGTCTTCCAACCCACAGAAGGCCTTACGAGCAAAAACATTTCCTGGGGAAAAAGAATTTAGCTTAAAGACTGTAGCAAACTCCTACTTGTGCACACTTGCTGGCTCTAACTTGTACATCATCTAGAATTCTTGGATGTGCTCAACATATAGAAATACATTCTTATATTCCCCTTGAAGTTTCAAACTTAATCTGTATTACGACTGTCAAAAATATCATTTAAATATGTCAATTTTACTACCTAAATATCACCTTTGAAAGTATTTGCCAAATGAGATTGCTTCTTAGCCAGGAAAATACACATCCCATAAACTCAGTTGAGGAGTTTCCCTTGGGACAAGTAAACCATAGTTAACATCACACTCAATGGTGAAAGATGAAACCAGGCGTCCAAAAACTACGGCCCACGGGCCAAACGCAGCCACCTAGCACATTTATCCGGCCCTCCAGGTGTTTTTGCCACCACTGCTTGTCCTGCTTAGCAGCCGACTTGTCCTGGGCCCACAGTGCGCACCCTCCAACGGTCTGAGGGACAGTGAACTGCCCCCTGTTTAAAAAGTTTGAGGACCCCTGGATGAAACGTTTTCCCCAGAAGATCAGGAACAAAACAAGCTATCCACTTTTGCCACCTCTATTCAACATAGTGTTAAAAGTTCTAGCTAGAGCATTCAGACAAGAAATAAAAGGCATCCAAATTAGGAAGACAGAACTAAAATTATCTCTGTTCACAAATGATACAATCTTATGTGTAGAAAACCCTAACAATTCCATGCTTACAATTAAAACAATTATTAGAGCTAAGAAATAAGTTCAGCAAAGGTATAGAATACAAAATCAACATCCAAAAATCAATTGCTTATATTAATAAAGAATAACCCAATAAACAATTAAGAAAACAATTTCATTTATAATACCATCAAGCATAATAAAAAAGTTAAGAATAAATTTAACCAAAGACGTGAAAGACTTGCACACTGGACACTATAAAATGTTGCTAAAGAATACCAGAAAGACACACACAGATGGAAAGACATGCTGTGTTCCTGGGTTGGAGGACTTAAGGTTGTTAAGAGGGAAACTACCTAAAGCGATCTACAAATTCAATGCAGTCCCTATCAAAACCAACTGGCAATGTTTGCAGAAATAGAAAAGGCCACCCTAAAATTCATATAGATTCAATCTTGGAAAAGAACAGAGTTAGAGCTAACTCATACTTCCTGAACATGGCTGATGATCAAATTGGCATTTTACACTAGAAAAATCAAATGCAATGCCAGCAAGCAGATGACCAAATATGTTTATGATCAATCCACATTCACCCTGTTCATCTCATGTGGCAATGTGCTAAGTGCAAGCTAAGAATCTGCACAATCCACTCTAATATTTCCTCTTCTGTTCTATTTATTAAAAAATGTTGTTCATGGCCTACTCACTTGATTCCAAGATATAATAACAGGATGAAACCCACAGTTTGAAAATAGGGTCACAGTTGTGTTTGGGGCTTGTGGTTAGCATCAGAGTTACCAACTTTCCTTGGAGGAACCCTCTCCTTGGCCATACGCCCTATGGACTGCCCTCTTCACACCCAAGCCACTATCCAGTGCATCGAGACACCAGTCTACTGGCCTTACCATTTCCATCCCCTCCTTAGATAGGCACAAATCTCATTTTGCTCAAGAAATCGGTTTTGTTCCCTGCTGTACTCAGAAGGGTACATAGTAACAGGGACTCAAGAAGGATTTGCTAACTACTAAAGAGTAGCTTAGTAGTTTTTTGCTAAAGACTAAAGAGTATAATTGTTGATGGGCAGGTTAAGTAATAAAATTTAATTTAAAATTAAAAAGAGAAGTTTCAAGTACTAAAATAAATCACTGCAGGATTAAAAACAAAAGCTAAACCTTCCATAAGTATGTGGATTCTACTCTTTACTAAGAAAAATATAACTGACCAATGTTCGTGATATATTAAGATCATCACGTGTAAAATTAAAAACAGAATATTTGCATTCTAAATCATAATAAAAAGATGAAAAGAAACTAATACTTTAAATATCAAAGGGAAAATATTGAACAGATCGATGAAGAAACATTCAAAACATAATTTATGACAGAAGACATGTAGCAATAAATGTCAATCATCAAATTCTCTACTTTTCAAAATAATATCCAAAGTGTTCTAATTTAAAAAAAAAATACCTATGGCAAATTAGAATAGAAAAGCTTTAAAAAGGGAGCTAGAAAAGAGACAGAGACAGAATGGGCAAAGATATTAAAACCAAACGCAAACAAAATGACCTCCATGATAGCAATGATGGCAAAGTGTCATTTAAGGCAAAGAAACAATAATCCAAATTTTAAAACCATAATACATTGACTAAAAACATAACTGATAATTAACAAAACCAGGATTAGGTCTTTATCCTACAAACAGCAAAGCATCAAAATACATGAATCAAAAATTGTAAGAATGGATGTTACACTTCAATAAAAAGTTTACATTAAAAACAAACAAAATCTATAAGACTCTTAAGGAGAAACCCAGAAAAACTATTAATAGTTATTAGAGATTTTGGTTCATCATATGGGGCAACGAAAGAATGAAATTGGAATAATGGGACAGAATGAACAGATATTTATGAAAAAGTGCCATTTGCAAATATGTACAAACAGATGCAAAATTAGTTTTAAGAAATAGTAAACCACAAAGAACAGAAATGCATTTTGCAAAAATGCAAAGATCTTTGGAGATAAAGCATGTGGCCCCAAGCAAAAACCTGCAACAGGCCACCTCCTCCCAGCCTGCACGAAGCGGCAGGCAGGCTCCAAACGTCCAAGCGCTGAGGCAGGGCGGGGCGCTAGGCGCAATGTGCCAAGGGGCTCCGTGCTACAGCCAAATACAAGAAAACTAGAAATTAATAACATATGCATTAGAAAAAGAAACTGCAGCCACTTGAAAATTAAAAACAAGCTCTGGCCTAAATAACTAGTCCAAGAAGTAAATAAAGATACAATAATAGTCTCCAGACAATTAGGACAATGTACACCATCATGTGTCAAGAAAAGAAAATGATGCAAGAGAAGAGGAGAAAAACTAACACCATGACACTTGCATCTTTATAAAAGAAAAAAGAAATTAAATAAATAATGCGAGTCCATCTTAAACCTGAAGGAAGGAAATATAGTTAATAGCAAGTCAGAAAGCAAAGCATAACAAAATTTATTAAAATCCAAAAAAGAAAAATAAAAAAAATCTTAAAAACATAATCAAGAAAAACATACAAAATTTTAACCAAAAAAATGAAGTATGATTTTTAATCATATTGTAATTTTACGGACACTAGTAAAAAAATAACTTCGTAAACTTCAATAAAACTTTTATTTTTATTAATATAAACC